AGAGACATGAAGAGGGCAGGGTTTGCAGGTGGCACTGGGGAGGCAGAGAGGTGGAAGGGGAAATATCACTAAGGGAACTGGAGAAGAGCTGGAGGGGACTTTGGAAGTCCCCTGGAAGAAGAAAGGAAGAGAAAGCTGCAGCAGGAGGCGGTCTGGAGGGGAGGGGAAGGAGGAAGTGATGATGGAAAGGGGACTGTCGGCGATGGTGGTGATGATGATAGCATCCTTCCTCGGGCCAAAGGGAGTAAAATATGAAAACAGAGGGAGTGGGTAAGAGCCTGTATCTTCCTGCGGGGAGGAGGCTGGCGGAAGAGAGAAGAATTAAGCTTTTGGTACCAAGTGAAAGGCTGAATAGCTGAGACAAGTCAGGCTTTTGGGCTGGGAATCCCATTTGTGGAGGCAGAAGTGAAGTTGGGGGGATTTGGACCTGTTCCCTAACTTTAGCAGCTTGCAACTTAGTACACTTCTCCCTTTCCCCTACTCTAACCACCAGTCCATCCACCCAGAAAAGGCATGACTATGAAGAGTTCAAGCCCAGCTCCAGACAGTGCCCCAAAGATCAGTTCCTACAGCCTGCCCCTAACCCACCCTGCATCCTCAGAATGCTGTGGGCCTCCATCTGCCCAAGTAAGGCAGCATCCCACCTGGCTCTGGGGCAGGCGGCACACACTCTAAGCAGAGGCTACTTCTGTCCACATCCTGTGTTCTGGGCTTCTGGCTTTCTCCCTTCAGCTCTCTGCCTGACATCTTCAATTTAACTCCAGATCACAGATCAATTCATCCTGTCCCTGGAGGCAGCCCTGCCCCTCTTTCAGCCCCAAAGGATTCTGTGGGACCTTAAAGAAGCTGAAGAATTTGGCACCCCCACTGGCCCCCAGAACCCACCTCTAACCCACATCCCCACTTCATGTCACAGATTCCTGCCCCCTGAACACACACAATCCAACTTTGAAGCTGCCCTCAGACCTGGGCACCCAGTCCCTATTCTGGTCCTCCATGTCTCAGAGTGCATCGCCATGCTTGTTCCAGAGCAAAGAGTTACAGGGGCATGGGGATGTCCCCTCTGGAGTCCCACCCCATTTCCAAACCCATGCATTAGGAACTCCCTGCCCCAGAGAACAAGGTTGTCTGCAGTCCAACCTCTAGAGCCCCACCCAGAGCAGGCCTGTGGGCACAGGTGCCCCAGGACAGCTGTGTGCGGGAGGTCTGCACAGAGCTTGGGTGCTGTGTATGTCTCTCACAGCTGAAGGCCCCTTGCTGTACGGAATGGAGCAGAGGGCCACATAGGGACATGGGGCTGGGAAAAGTGCTCCCACAATAACTTGTTCCATGCAAAATTGCAAAGAGCGGAAATTTTGAGTTTAAACCTGACCTTCCAGGTCTTTCCCAAGGTAGGAAGATAGACCATGTTTTGTTTAATAGCAGGTTAGTCTGCTTTATGACTTTTAAATAGTTAGACCGATGTATGGTATTGGGCTCTCTGAGCCTTGCCCTGTGGCCTGCAACTGTTGGGGAGAGACTATCCAACTCCAAGCACAACTGAGTGGTGGAGATTTTTCTGAAATTTTCCCAGAGGAAGAGGGGAGAAGGCGACATTACTATCACAAAGCAAAACTTGCTAAAATTTTTGTGTAACCACTGCTGCTCCGCCCCTAATTTCCTCTTCTTCCTACAGCTAGACCCTACCTCTTTTCTCCTCAGAAGCCATCTTCAGGGCTAGCCTTGCCTCATGGCTAGGTCCTTCTGCTTCACTCTATCCTCCCACCATGCCCCCAAGTCCCCTCAGCTCCCAGAATGAAAACTCTGCACAAGCTAACAGTTCTCCAAAAAGAAAAAGCCCATCCTGCCCAAAACGGTTTGTGCCTTGCTTCATCTCACTTTCTGTTAGCACAGTCTACCTCCACACAGCTGAATGCATCTTTCAGCCACCCCTCCCACCAGACAGTGAGCTCCAGGATCCTAAAGGTAGTGTCTGGTTTAGTTCTGTGACCCTTCTAGTACCTTCTGCTTGGTGAGCATTCATGTAAGAAGCCTTCATGGAAGACTCCATAGAGGAGCTGGAATCTCAGGCCGGGGTAAACAGAATATGGAAAATTAAGTCAGAAGAGAAAAGGCAACAGGAAAAGCAACAATGATTCTCCATAACCTGTGTGCAACAGCAAGCTATTAAAGATGCTTGAACAAGGGCATGATAACTCTTTAAGAAGATCAGTCTGTGCAGGGTCTAAATAAGCCAGCAAGTCAGGGAAGAAAGGAGAGCAGCTTCAAGCCTGTTAGCGCAGCTCAGTGTAAGGCAGTAGGTGTCAGAAGGGCAGGGATGTGAAGGCAGGATGAAGAGACGCAGGAGGCAACACCTTGGCTTGCCCGACGGTGACTTGCCCAAGGCCACAAGGTTCAGTTAGAGCTGCAACTCAGTCATACCTGCCATCCAACCTGTACAGCTTCCTCTGTATGAATCTCAAAAGAGGCGAACCTCAGGTGGCCTTGATGGTTGCTGAGGCTGAGGCTTACTACAGGCCAGGACACTGGCTCTTCTGCCAGGTCCACTGCAGAAGAGGTTTCCTCAGGGTGTTCTGGACTTTTCACTTAAAAGAAAAGCACAGACCCTCATATGGGTAGGTGAGGCTGAAGAGTACCCGTGGTGAAGAAATTCATGCCAGCACCTCTCCCTGGGCAGGACTACATAGATGGTAGTGCTCAACGCCCAGGTCCCTGAGGCCCAGCTGAAGGATGAGGGGAGCTATGATCATTTCTAACATTGGCACAGTGCTTCCAAAGCACTGAAAAGCATTGTTCCTGACCACCCAGCTCCCACTCCCTGCCCTGGGCATCAGATGCATCCTTCCAGGCTTACAGCACTTCCACTGCAAAACCCTCAATCCTGTCCCCCCACCTCTCTGCACCCTCACAGCCCTGTGCTTCTGCTCAGTCTGTATAAACTGCCCTCTACAGATAATAGCTGTGTGACCTCGGTCATATCACTTCATCCCTGTGCACCTGTTTTATCATCTGTGATCTAAGGGGGGTTTATGAGGATTAAATGAAGGAAAACACAGAGTAACTGCTCTGTACTTGCCTGATGATGGCCACATGCCTTCTCCTGATGGTGGCTTGTGGTTGTCTCCCCTGCAAACTCCTTGAGGACAGGACAGGATTACATCTGACTTGTCTGTGCCTCCCCGGGACCAGCCCAGGGACCAGCCCAGGGACCAGCCAGGACCAGCACACTCTAGGCCCATTTATTCAATCTATGAGCACTCATTGCTTTCTATGTGCCAGGCCCTGTGGGAGAATCTGGGTTTAGGATAAATAAGGAGATCAAGGGACATAGCCCTGCACATAAAGAGTACAGCAGAGGGTCACGGTACTGGGCAGAAGCCTCGTACACATGGCCAGAACAGGGAGGAAGAGGAAGTCTCCATCTGATCAAAGCTGGCTGAGATGAACTGGGGTGCTCTGTTTGAACCCCTAACCCCGACAACAGATTTAAAGGCCGAGGAGATGGGAACTGAGAATATTTTGCCACTAAATCATGGGGCTGGGCCCAGGGCCAAGCCCTCATTTCTCAAAGAAAGGGGCTCACAGCAGACCCTTTGGAGATTTCCCCAGCACTCCCCAGCCTTGGCTTCCTTGCAGTCTTGCAAGTTAAAGGAGTTCCAGGTAAAATCCATTCATCCCCTGGGCTCTACCTGATGCCAGCCCCTGTGCTCCAGGGTATTTTTAGTTCTGGGCGGCCAGGCCTGGGTGGGTGACTGGCAGCAGCCCTCCGTGTTGCTCCTGGCTCAGCATGAGAGGTGGCTGGGTACGGGGAGGGGTCCTGGAATACCTGGCACCCCAATCCACAGCTGCCTCATTGTCCTCAGGGGAGGAGTTGGGCTGCTGCTGCTACCACTGACCCGAGGCTGGAAGCATTCTTTCCTGTTGATTCATCACTGGGAATGTTTCAGACCAAGCCGAGGCGGGGCAGGGGCACTGTGGGGACATCTTAGACATGGGCACCCAGGGATGGATGGCAGGCCTCCAGCAGCCCGGTCACCAATGTCCACATTGCCACCTGGCACTTATCACATCGTCTGCCTCCCCAAGACCCTAGGAGCCCATCCCCCCCAACATCTAGCACTCTGGCACCCTGTCTAGCACATAGGAGAAAATCAATAAAGCTTTGCTGATTTATTGAATGAGCCTTTAGAAGGACACTGAGGGACCATGGGGACCAGAGAAGGATCCAGACAACACAGCTCTAGGCCCAGAGAGCGAGCTGGGAGGCTGGAACCCACTGCCTATTTTACAGATGGTGGGGGGACACTGAGAGGGACCAGGACTGTGGGACAGAAACTGGGGCTGGTGCTGGAGTTCAGGCACCAGGTGTTCACTCAGCTGGTGGCACTCCCCTCTCAGCTCTTTCCTCATCTGTTTTATTCTGCCTCCAGCCTTCCCTCCACGTGCTCCTCCACATCGTCCCTCCTGAGCCTGACAAGGACCTGGACTGCCTCACGCAACTTTGCATAAAGGTATTATGGAGAATTGAAGCTCTCTCATTCAGTTTATCACCTGGGGGAGCAAGTCGCATCTCGTGCGGCTGAGTGTTCCCGACTGCAAAGGGGAAGAACAGAGCTTCGCCCCCAGGTAGCAGTCAGTAAGCTCGGGGGACCAGAGCAATGGAGAAGCAGCAGCGGCAGGGCGCGCTCCGACCTTCTTTGAATTGAACCCCCACCTCCCAAGGGCTCCCACACTGTTCTGCGCACAGGCTCATGGGATCCGAGCCCAAGGACAGCCGCTCCCCTTGAGGGACCCGGTCCTGGGGCTCTGAGCGCAGCTGCGGCTGGCAGAGGAGGACACCGCCTGCGAGGGAAGCTGGCGCGTGCCGCCGCCTCTCCCGGGGACTCTGGGCCGCCGCGTCCCTCTCGCACTTCCCCGGGGACCTCCCGGCCGGGGCCGCGCCCCAGCCGCTGCTGGCTAAGGGCCGGCCGGGCGGGGCCCTGGGGTGGGGCGGGGCCTACGGACTCCCCGGCAAGCTGGGGCTGGCCCGGCGGAGGGTGGATAAAAAGCCCCCAGGGCGCTCCGGGAGGCCGCTAGCGCTACCCGCCAAGCCGGCCCAGCTGAGACCCGTTGGAGACCCAGTTGGTGAGCCCCCGCCGGGCCGGGCCCTGGCCCTCGGCCCCGGATCTGCCTCTCGCTGTGCTGTGCTTCTGTCCTGCCTCTCTGGATCTGCAGGCTTCTAGGGGTTCCTGGAGGCTGGGGACTGGGAACAATGGGGTCCCAAGGACGGTCGGTCTTAGCCCCGAGTTGCTCGCTTACTGTCTTTTCCCAGTTGGACAGTGACCAAGTTGGGGAGGTTGGCCGGAGGCCCGCGTGGGTGTTGCGCCCTGGCCCCACCAGTGCCTGATTTGTGAACACTGTGTGTAACGGTTTCTCTGCCTTCTGGCCCAGGCCTCAGGGACAGGACAGGCAAGGTGGGGTCAAACGTCACTCCTGAGACTTGGAGAACTAAGAGCCAAGGCGAGTTGCACCCTCCAAGTAACCAGTCCAGAGCTGACCATGCTAGGAGTGAGGGGGAGCCGGAAGAGAGAGTGGCAAAGGACTTCAGCCCCCAGGTCTGCCAGCCCCCACAGGTGCCCAGTCCGGCACTGCATGGAGCCCACACAGTCAGTGCTCCCAGGGAGGGTACAGGGCTTAGAGAAGAAGCCCAGCTCCTAGAGAACTACAGAGAAGGGGCTGGGAGTGATCCCAGAGCTGGTGTCCCCAGGACAGTACTCTCTTGCTCTCTCCGGGCTACCCGTGGGCATCTGCTGTCTTTCCGGGCTAGGTCAGGCCTGGTGCCAGGGTTCCCCAGCAGCACCTGAGCAAGTGCCTCTGCCTGGAGCTGCAGAGTCCTGGATCTGGCACGTGGTGGCACTCAGTGCTGGCACCCACCCCGGAGCTCTCATACCACACTACAGCTGGGTCATAAATCAGCCAGCAACAGGGTGCAGTTCCATTGAGCTCCTTGCCACACTTCCCTCTTCCTGACACCCAGCTCTGGCAGTTTGGAGGGCCCAGCTTGTAGCCTCCCTACCTGGTGGGGCGAGGTATTTCACTCAGGGGCCTCACCTTCTCATCTGTAAAATGGAGATAAATATTAAATAAATGTTTTTAAATGCTCAGTTTCCTTTTTCCTTATCTTCCCATCTCCTTCGCCTTCCTTCCTGGTCTGTTTCCTTCACTTGGAAAAGAACTACTGTTGAGGCTGCCTCCTTCTCTAAGGGCTGATTCTCAGCCTAGTCCTCTTCTCTGTGCTCCTCTGGGGGACCAGATGTATGGGGACTGGTTGTAGGGTTAGAAGGTAAACACACAAAGTGCTAGGGAGGTGGGGGACTGGGAGAGCGCAGTGGAAGGAGTAGCATTTGAGCTGAGTGCTGAAGGATGTGTAGGAATCTAATAATCTGAGCGAGAGGGGAAGGGCCTTCCAAGTAGAAGAAGCAGTGAGAGCAAAGTCTTAAGGCTGGAAAATGAAGGCTATGGGCAGGAAGTAGTGGCAAGACAAATTTAATGTAAGCAAAAGCTACAGGGTCCTGTAATATTGTGTGTGTGTGTGTGTGTGTGTGTGTGTGTGTGTGTGTGTGTGTGTTAGAGGGACCTGCGAAGAGGAACTATCCTTGCATCAGACTCTTGGTTCTATCACCTATTCATCGCTGGGTAGCTTGTATGGAAGGGAGCAGCCCTGCTCCAGAACTCAGGGTCCTGCAGCAGAAAGCCTCCCCTGTCTCTAGACTGAGAGCCAGCTGGCATGGTACTGTCTGTAGCCTCTGATTAAGACCTCCTCCAAGCTGTGAGCACTGCATCCACAAGGCAAACAGCAGACCCTGGGCCCTGTTAGAAGATGTAACCCCTAGTACCACTCCTCATTTTATAGATGTCTCAGCTGGAGGTCAGAGAGAGGAAATCACCACTACAGACACAGAGCAGTTTGAGGTAAAGGCCCTGAGCCCAGTCCTTCTGACCCTCTCTTGTCACCTGGGGAATGTTTCCTCACATAGTAACCTTGATGTGGCTTATCCCTGGTGTCCAGTCCTCCTCAGAGGAGCTCAGAGGAGAGAAAAGGGACTTGAGAAATAGTGGAAGCTCTCTATTCCGGATGACAGCCAGCCAGGGGAGGGCTGGGGATCCGGCCTCAGCAGTGTGATGGGAGGGGACAAGTGGACCTAGAGAATGTTGCAGAGAAGGGTACCAGGGACCTGGCAGCTGAGAGAAGATGTGGTCTCCATTTCCCTGTTCGTAAAAAGGGGTGAGACCAAAGGAATCCAGTAGCTCTGCTGCAGCTATTACAATGATGTTAATAATAGTTCTGCTATCAAAAGCCTGCTTAACATGTATTCAATCATGAACCTTTACAAAAATCATACACAGTACATTCCATTATTATTCCAATTTACAGTGGGACACATTAGGGCCATGAGAAGTTGCCCCCCAAATCACCTAGACACTAATGGTAGAAATGGAATTTGAATCCAGGCAGCCCAGCTGCCTAGTCTGTTCTCAAGTCCTGTGACACAGCACCTCCCAGCCACGCAACCATGGATACTTCTGAGTGCCACCCCCACACCCTGCACTATTCTGGGCATTGGAGACACAACAAGTTACTGCTCCAATGGAACATCATTATTGAGCCCATCTGGTACTCTCTGTTGGGTACCAGAGGATTAAGAAGTGACTCTCAACTGGATACCAGCTGTGGGGAACAAGAGTGGCAGGGGCCTGAGGCCCTCTCTGCTCAGGCTGAGTGAGTCTTGAGTGATCCCCAAGAGCAACAGTGGCTGTAGAAGAGGCTCTCAGCCAGCTCTCAGAAGAAAAAAGCACTCGGACAGGGAGCCAGGGATCTAATCTTCATCCACTCTTCCAGGGGGCCTCAGTTCCCTGTCAGCACAGGAGCCATTTGGAAGAACACCAGAATTGGTGGCTCCAGAGGTCTCTGACAGCTCTACCAGCTACAATAAGCTCACCAGGCTCACTGACCAGGAGGCATGTGCACGTACAACCTCTGAGAATCTGGGCCAGTTTGCCCCCTCCCTCCTTCCCCTCCAGGACTATAACACTGTGGCAGGGCCAAAAGATGAGCACTCCCTGCTCTTGAACAAACTCACCTTTCTCTCTTCCCTCCTTTACTATCTGGTTCTCTCTACCCTTAGTGCCCTTTCTCCACCCAGACAAATTCTTACTCATCCAACAAGGCCCAGGTTAAGAGTGCTTTCTTTGAAAGTCATCCCTGATTTCTCTCCTCTGCATTGTGAGTATAGGGACAGTATTTGAGGCGTTCCTTTCTGTGTCATAGCACCCTGCCTAAGAATTGGCCGGAAGCAGGTACAGTACTCCAGAGGTGCTTGATACATTAATGCATGAATCTTACACATAGCTGGAGATATTAGACCATATTTGGCTTAGCCTCTTCAGTTTAGAAATAAGAAATTAGGGTCAACAGAGTTTAATAGACTTAGCCAAGCCACATAACAAATGAGTCGGAGAGATCCTTAATAACTTTTTCAGGCCCAGCATTCCATGTTCCTTGTGTGTGAAGGTAACATTTTACTTTTTCGCAGGGTGCTGGGAACATTAAAAGGTAGGAAAAAGCAATACCCCTGGGGTAGATATTTCTGACCTGAGGATACCCCTGAGGACTCCCCCACTTCTTGAAGCCTAAGCCCCCCTCTCCTCTACCCTCCTGTGCATTGCTGAAGAACCTATGGTCAGGAGTAGAGGTGGTGATCACTGTTTACTCATTTCCCAGGCGCCCTTGAAGTCATCATGACGTGGTACCCACCAGCCACCCTCTCTCTGCTCCTGCTGCTGCTGCTAGGCCAGGCCCCTCTCAATAGGTCCCAGTCACCAGGCACCAAGAAGCTCCGGCTGGTGGGCCCAGGGAGCAGGCCAGAGGAAGGCCGCCTGGAAGTCCTACACCAGGGCCAGTGGGGCACCGTGTGTGATGATGACTTCGCTCTCCAGGAGGCCATGGTAGCCTGCCGCCAGCTGGGCTTTGAGTCCGCCTTGACCTGGGCCCACAGTGCCAAGTACGGCCAAGGGGAGGGTGAGTGATGGCGCCGCTCCACAGGATGGGAAGATGACCGCTGGTTTCTCTCGGGGCTAGGCCCACTGAAGCTCCAACATTTGGCAATGTACCAAATGTCCACCTACCCCTTAATGCCTCGCTCAAATGGCCTCCCTCATGAGGGCCTTCCTGAGTGCCCCAGCTGCAGAGGACCCCCACTCTGACCCTCCCATTTTCTCTTCTAATGAGGCCACCATATCACCATAACTGAACTCTTTTAAGTTCCTTAGACAGCGATTGGCACACAGTAGGTACTCAGAAAACACTGAATGGATGGATGAGTGAACACATATGTCTAGTTCATAGACTCACCTGGTATTTTCCAAAAACTAGTTCTATGGACCTGACACCAAGAGGAGGCAGTAGGCAGGACGGTGGATACTAAAACCCCTGCAGAATCAATTCCTCTCTTTCCCCTACTTTCCACTCAGCACTTAGAAGAGACTCGATAATTGGGGTCCTATCCAAGAGCAGAGCTGTGACCTACCTTTCTGTGTCCATTCCTAAGCATTGCCCATCCCTTCCTCCATAGGGCCCATCTGGCTGGACAATGTACGCTGTCTGGGCACCGAGAGCACTCTGGACCAGTGCAAGTCCAATGGTTGGGGTGTCAGTGATTGCAGCCACTCAGAAGACGTTGGGGTGGTATGCCACCCCCAGCGCCAGCGTGGCTTTCTCTCAGAGAGGGTCTCCAATGCCCTTGGGCCCCAGGTAAGGAGGCTGGTTGGGTTCTGGCCTGAACCAAGCATTGCATGGTAGAGAGATCCTCCTGGATAAAGAGCTTGGAGGAGAACAAGGACCAAGCTTGGGCTGAGCAGCATCCCTGGGGCAGGTGCACAGAGAAAGAGGACCCTAGCTTGATGCAGGGCAGGCCAGGGGATCAGAGGCCAGGCCTGCCAGGAATCACAGAAGCTGCTCCCCATAAGGGAGATGCAACGGGGGAAGGGGGCTGCTTCATCCACAGGCCTGGCCACAATTGCTGCCTCTTCCCAGCACAAACAACCCTCTGCTAAAAACAACCCAAACCAAACAACAGGAGTGGGCAGGGCAAGGCTTTGGTTTCCACTCTCTGCTGCTGGGTAGCTTCTGTCTGCAGACAGCTGGCCCTAGCCCACTGAGTACAGCAGGCCACCACGGGGCTTCCTGGGTCTAAGTCATCCAGGGCTAGGGTGGCAAGTCTTGCAGGCCAAAGAATCCTGCTGGTAGTCTCAAGCAGCTGTTCCGTACCCATCTCAGCAGTCCCCAAGGTGGCTTGAAGAAGGCCCCCCAATACCCAGCAGAAGACTCCCAAACCCCAGGGAGGGCACAGACCTGCCTCTTTCTTTCCAGTTTAATAAACTTGAGGAGATGAGGCAAAAAGCCTAGACAAAAAGTTTCTGGTTCCTACTCACTCTGTGACCTTTAGCGAATGCCTTGTGCTCTCTGGGGCTTAGGTTCCTGGCCTGAGCACTGAGGGGCTGGGGGAAGCTCTGTAAGAGCACTGAGCCAGGGGCTTTCCTGGTGAAGATGCTCAGCACCCGCAGGATGCTCAGGGATGAGGCCCACGTGACTGTGCACGCTGCAGGGCCGGCGGCTGGAGGAAGTGCGGCTCAAACCCATCCTTGCCAGTGCCAAGCAGCGCAGCCCAGTGATTGAGGGTGCCGTGGAAGTGCGATATGAGGGCCACTGGCGACAAGTGTGTGACCAGGACTGGAGCATGAACAACAGCAGGGTGGTGTGTGGGATGCTGGGCTTCCCCAGCCAAGTGCCTGTCAACAGCCACTACTACAGGTAGGACAGTGGTGGGATCCTGAAGCTACGGCTGAGACAGAGAGAGGGAGAGACAGACAGACAGACAGAGACAGAGACACAGAGGCAGACAGACAGAGACAGATGGAGAGATGGAGAGAGGGAAGGAGGGAAAGGAGGGAGGAAGGGAGAGGTATCCACACGTGTATGCACACTCAATGTCTGAGTACATAACTAAGGTGTGCACAAGTGTGAGATGTGAGAGGGTGTGCGCATACACGTGTGTGTGACCTTGCAGGCTTCTGTGACTGCTAGAGGACAGACGGGGGAGACTGTCCCTGGCAGGATATCTGTACATGTTGGGATCAGAAGAGAAACAGCCCAACTGAGGAAAGTAGCTGGAGTTCTTGGGTTACTGATCTCTCAGAAGAGTTGAGTACATAAGGATGAGCTTCAAAATCTCAAGAAACACCTACAAGTGCTCAGAAGACAAATTTTGTATTTGCCAATCACACGGAAAGAATTGACCAGTACAGAATACCCCAGCAATGAAAACAATTGAATGTAAAAGTTTATGTCCTTGATTGAAAGATAGATTTTACCAAAGAGGTATACAATGTTGCTCACAAGTGCAGGGAAAAATGCATTCTGGTCTCAGCTCTACCAGTAACTAGCTTTGAGGCTTCGAGTCATGCATCTGGGCCTCAGTTATCCATGTCACTGAATTATCTCAACTTTGCAGTGAATTTCCTCAACTAGGATCCAAGTCAAGCTGGTTGGGTTGCATGTAAGCAAGACATGGGGTGGGGCCAGTTTGGGGAGAGGAGATATAAAAATATTCTGCCAGAAATGTGACGGAGCTATCACAGCAGATTGCATTACCCAGTAAATTACAACCTTAATCCCAGTCCCACTGGCTCTGTGTCCACGAAAGCTTTCTGAGTTTCTCATGGAGGGAAAACTCTTCCTCAGCACCTCTGGTCATCTAACCCAGTCAGTTCATCACTTGGCACTAATGCAGTTGCAAATTCCTTATATTTCTGGCTTATATGACCCTGGTCCTAAGGGAAAAAAGGTGGTAGGCAGCCATATGGCTCCATCCTTGAGGACAATGGGGATGTGAGTCCCTGGCTCCCTTTTGCCTGGTAATTGCACTGTGGGCCCTGCTGACTCACCTGCCACCAGGATGGCACCCCTGATTATAGCTTGGGTGTCTCTGGGTAGCAGCACCCCCACCCCCAGCAAGGCCTTCACCTTCCACCCATCCCCAGAGGACCTTTCCCCAGGTCCATTCCCTCAGGGTGCTCCTACAAGGCTGCCCTTTATCAGGCCTGGGGGAACTGGAGCTGCCTGTTCCAGGGGTAGCTCTAGTACAGTAGACTTCACTTTAGCACAAGCCAAGGGAACTTGCTTGCCTTCCCTGTTACATAGGGATCATCATTATTTGTGAGGTGCCACCTTATCAGGGTGGCTGTGAAGCTCAGCCATGAAATAAGGTTTGTGAACAAGTTTGCAGACTGTGAAGTCCAGGGCAAGTTTAAGGGCGACTCTGAGGAACAACCCGGCAGTGGGATTCTGGATCCCCTCCCCACACCCCCATCTCTCTTCTCCAACCACAGGAAAGTCTGGAATTTGAAGATGAAGGATCCCAGGTCTCGGTGAGGAGTGGCATCCTGGGGGAGGTGCAAAGGGGTGTGACGAGAAGGGCCTCCTCTCCCGCGCTGCCGCCCCCCTTGGCTCCTGTAGCCTCCTTTACTCAGTTTCCCTTGTCTTCCAGGTTGAAGAGCCTGGCGAATAAGAACTCCTTCTGGGTCCACCGGGTCCACTGTCTGGGGACAGAGCCCCACCTGGCCAACTGCCAGGTGCAGGTGGCTCCAGGACGAGGCAAACTTAGGCCGGCCTGCCCAGGCGGCATGCATGCTGTAGTCAGCTGTGTGCCAGGGCCCCGCTTTTACTCGCCAAAGGGGAAGCCCCGGCACAAGGAACCCCGGGCAGAGGTGAGCACCATGGGGCCCACACAGCAGCCTGGAGGCCCAGGCCTCCTCTCAGCAGGACCCTGCCCTGTGGTGAGAGGAGACAGGAACCAGACCAGGAAAAGGAGACAAATCACGGGATGGTAGAGACTTGGGGTCTGTTTGAAAGGAATCATTTATAACCCTACCATAAATGAAAGTTGACATCACTTGCCGTGAATAGACAGTAACCATGAAAACAGTAAATAGCAGCTACAGCCATTAGGGCTGAAGGCATTGAACCTGAGCTTGGCCCTTTGTTACAGAGGAGCAAGTATTAGTAAGATGTTACTAGCAGAACACAGAGAAAGCCTCCTTGCTGAGGTTTTGGTGTGATTCCCTGCTGGAGAAGTAGAGGACAAGAAACACTGCTTAATCAAGGTGATAGTGAGGGGAAGTCAGAGGCAGACCCAGGAGTCCACAGACACCCGAAGGAGCCCTGCCCTGGGTCACTCTGTGGTGATGCAGCCCCTCTGGCTCACCTTCCCGATGCCCCTTCCTCCCAACAGGAGCTGAAGCTGCGCCTGCGCTCTGGGGCCCAGGTGGGTGAGGGCCGAGTAGAAGTGCTTATGAACCGCCAGTGGGGCACCATCTGTGACCACCGGTGGAACCTCATCTCTGCCAGTGTTGTATGTCGCCAGCTTGGCTTCGGCTCTGCACGCGAAGCCTTGTTTGGGGCCCAGCTGGGCCAAGGTGAGTGAGGGAGCCAGGGTCGGGTGGGAGGGACTAGATGTGCCACTGGCTCTTCCTTGGTGGCCATGGATTCTGGCCAGCTGTAGAGTGGAAGCCGCAGGTGTGGGTTACAGAGGTGGAACTCCACTCACACAGCACCTGTCCCCCAGGGCTAGGGCCCATCCACCTGAGTGAGGTGCGCTGCAAGGGTTACGAGAGGACCCTCAGGGACTGCCTTGCCCTGGAAGGGCCCCAGAATGGCTGTCAGCATGAGAATGATGCTGCCGTCAGGTGCAACATCCCAGATATGGGCTTCCAGAATCAGGTGAGTTCAGGCCTGAGCATGTCCAGCAGGGAAGGCTCGGGAGACGGGACTTAGTGCCCCCACCATGGGGTCTACCTACCCCTGGAACTCAGAGATGTCAGAAGGGTACACAGAGGGTCTACAAGTGCACACACTCCCCCAGACACTCAAAGAGGATTCCTATGGTGAGGGCCAGGCTGCCAGCAATGGGGAGTGGCAACAGGGAGCTGTGTGGGATGGGATGCTCAGGTTCCAGGGTCAGTCCTATGCAGTTAATTCTCTCACATGTCATTGTGAATGAGGTAGTAGACATGAAAGCCCTTTGCAAATTGTAAGTCATCATTAATGGTAGAACTGTTAGGAGGAGGGCAAGTTCCAGAAAGCCCTGCATAGGCACTTTGAGTCAGATTTTTCTAGCAGGTAGGGCCATTCAGGACTATCTAATAATCTGTCCTGGTTTATAGAGAAGACAGCCCAAAGATGGGGAATGTGTGATGTGAGGCCATCCCATGAGCTGGTCTGGCAGGTCTCCAGGCTTGCAGTCTTGAGTTCTTCCCACCTCAGGCTCCTATGACCCTCACATACCTCTGACCACTGCAGGTGCGCCTGGCAGGTGGGAGAAGCCATGAGGAGGGCGTGGTGGAGGTGCAGGTGGAGGTGAATGGCATCAGACGCTGGGGGACCGTGTGCAGTGATCACTGGGGGCTCAGTGAAGCCATGGTTGTCTGTCGACAGCTCGGCCTAGGTTTTGCCAACTTTGCTATCAAGGTAGGTCCACGTCTTGCTTCTCCCCTACAATCTCTCAGCCTCCTAGACTGAGAGGACCAAAATTTCCTGTGCTAGAAGTGCTGGCCATTCATTCATTCATTCAACAATTAATTGAGTGAAATTCTGGGCTGATTCAATGCTCGGCGCTAGGGATACTGGGTGAGCAAGACAGTTCTTGACTTGCAGAGCATACAGTTGAGTGAATAAGGCTGTCACTAGTAAAATGTTCATAGAAAGAAGTACACAGGTGTATCTGTGGGAAAGACAAACAGAAGTTAGCTAGATGAGGTGGAAGAATAAACAGCCCGCACAAAACCCGTGGCCAGAGAAAGCTTCAGTCAGTTGAAGAAATCAGGGGCCCAAGGTTGCAGTGTGGCTGTCAAAGGAGATTGGTGTGACAGTTGAGGGTAGAGAAAAAGGCAGGGGCAAGACCATTCACCTCTAACCCAGAGTTTAAAAACTTTCTTCCTCTGCTCTTTGGAAAACAGCCGGGGTGGAGACTAACCCAAAAGCAGGGCAACATATTCAGGAAGTTACTTATTGTAGAAGCCCAGGTGAGAAATGATGCCAGACCAGACCCAGCCAATGGCAGTCTGGAGGAAATAAGTGAAGAGATCCAAAACACTCAAAAAAACAAAATCAAGAGGTCTCAAGCATGGCGGCAGTAGAGCCACCCATTCTGGCTTATTCTCTCACTGGATAACTGGGCACAGCCGAGCACAACACTGAGGCTGTGTGAGGAACACACCACCTAATTTGGAGGAGGGGCAGGCCCACCCCTTAAAGCCCCAGAGGAGGACTGCCACCTGGGAGAGGGTGGGAATGAGGCCAGATAGAAGCTGCAGACCACAGGTTTTTACCTCAGTACATGGAAAAAACTCCTAAGGTTAGACAGATCCAAATGCAACATGGTCTGCCACTGGCATAGAGGTTCTCATCTGTGACAATTTTCAGGCCCAGGCAGGGCCTAGCCTTGTAGGGGTTGGGTAATGGGGTCTAAGCTGCAGATGGGCATCAGAGATGACTCCTCAGGCACCTCTCTGCTCTGACTGAGTGGTGCTGGCTGTTTTCTTAGGACACCTGGTACTGGCAGGGGACACCGGAGGCTGGAGAAGTGGTGATGAGTGGGGTGCACTGCTCAGGCACCGAGCTGGCCCTGCAGCAGTGTCAGAGGCATGGGCCTGTGCACTGCTCCCATGGCACTGGGCGCCTTTCAGCAGGAGTCTCCTGCACCAACAGTGAGTAATGGGAGGGCTCACAGGGTATGGCCTCTGCTACCCGTTAAAAGGCCCTGTGTCTTGGTTACTTTTCTCTCATTGCTGGGACAAAATATCTGACACCCAAAATTAAGGAAGGAAAGGTTTATTTGGCTTACAGTTTGTGGAGGTTTCAGTCCATACTTGGCAGATTACAAGGCAGCTTGGCACATGGCAGAGAGCTACAGCTGATGGTGGGAGAACGCAGCCAAAGCAACAAGCATACACCAGGGCAGAATGGGGGAGGAATGGCCTCAAGCACTCTCTTCCTCTCCCTTACATATGCAAACTACCCACCCCAGGGCGGGTGCAGCTCTCACACCCTTAATCAAACTCTAAAAGCCTGACC